AATTTTAAAGATTTAACACAGATTTAGGCACAATGGAGTAATGGATAGCAGCTCAGATTGAGGAATCAGAGCTGAGTTTGAATTCCATTTGAATCCATTACATTCACTTATATGCTTAGTACCCTTGAGAAAGGTATGAATCCTCTTCTCCCCTCAGCTATGGGTAAATAGCAGGACAGACCAGGTTCTATAGCCTTGAATGGCAACTGATCTACTGCAGAAAGAAATGGCAACCTACTGCAGGAAAAAAATCTGCCTCAGTCATGTATCAAAAGATGTATGATCACCTAAGTGTGTATCATGCATGGCACATAAATGACTGATATTAATGTACTTTTAAGTGCAATATTTTGTAAGACTCAGATAAAGTGCAGATAAAACTTAGCAACTTTTTATATAAAGTTTTTCAATTATTTAATCATGACGGCTATTTTAATTTGAAAGACTAATTATAGCTTAATTATAACATAAAATTTCTGACAATAATAAACTTCTAGAACTCTTGACACAAAATTTATTGAAGTTCTTGTAGTTCATTAATTTTATACTCAAGTGAAGGAAGATTATGAATAAGTTTCTGCTAACCAGTTTCTGTGAGCAAGTCATTAAGGTGAGGTAGAAATGAATTTTAGTCTTGGTAGAGCCAACAGAGAAAAATAGGAAGTGCATTACAATATTGTCTCCCTTTCTTTTAAGACTGGTCAATCATCTTTCCAATAAATAATTCATTTCATCTCCTTGCTATTTGTTTATAACTGAGATTAGCATGCAGCTGCTAAACTACTTTCACTTTTGAATAAAGCAGCAATACTCTTATAATCGGGTATGCTTAAAACTATTTCATTATTGCCTATTGATCACATAAGGTTATTGATTTGCCTGAGTCCCAAAACTGAATGTGTCTAGACATTGTATGATGCAATATAAATCCATTGGATGGCAAAGTTCTATAGATTGTCTGATGACAAAACCTTTTGTTAATCTGTGTCTCTTATAGTCAACTAGCATCCTTATAATGCAAAAGAAAGGCCTCTTCTTGGTTTTGGTGAGATTACAAGTTTCACACCATTTTCTACAAGGGATTATGATATGAGTAAAAGCTTTGTCCTTTTTGCTAGAATCTTTAATATTTGAAAAAGTGCATGATACTTTCTTGTTGCTATTTTGGTACAAACTGAAATTAATAATGCTTGAGGATATTTATGTATAATCAAATATTTAGAAATTAAAATGTGACTTTGCTATTTCTCTATGTTTTCACATTCAAAGGATATGTTAAAGTATCAAATACATGTAAAGTTTAAGTGTGTATGCAATATTACTTGTGCCTATATTTCTGAGATGTGGTAGTGTAACTATTTACACTATACTGAGATATCCAGAAAAGGCATGGCACATAAAACTAGAAAAGTCTAACCCAGTGGACTAAAAGGGTTCAGTTCAAAATTCCAAAGTATGTCCCCTGAAGAAGGCCAGAGCATGCAACAGCTGAAACATTATGAATATGACAGTGATGAGGACAACAGTTCAAACAATGTAAATAGTATAAATAATATTACTTATAGGAATTAGTTATACCTGTCCTCATCATTTTTTTAAAGCATTTTAAAAACTTTGTACTGTGTCTCACATTATAAGCCACTTCAATCTTTCCTTATTTTTAGAAAACTATGACATGGGTTTATAGAAATATTTACTGTATTAATTTGCTAAATATTTCACATATGTATAAATTGTGGTAGACTATATGAGACTATTAAAATGTTTTAAGAATTTTATCAGATTTTTCAAGTTTCACATTAGACTATTGAAACTCAAAGAAACATTATGTTGCAATTAAAAATTATGATAACATAACATGTGAATAATTTAAAAAGACAAATGTTTGGAACAGAAAATTGAAACACTGTCATTGTATTTATGGCAGTTATGAAGACATTTATGTGAGACACATGATTTATGCTCTGAAATTAGTTTAAGAAATTGTTCAGCCATTAATTTTGTGAGCTGTTGTATTTATTCATATCAAACACTGTGCAGTAAATAGAATAGCATTGTGCATTTTATCATCCACCAATGTAAACCTTCCTTTTGAGAATGCTCCATAAGTTTTCAATTACGCTATGGTTTGGCAAACAAACTATCAAACAAGTATCTTTGAAACACATTTTATTTAGAAACTTGTTAGTTTTCCTTGTTAAATGTGATAAAGCATTGTTCTGTATAAATATTCTCTTTCCAAAAGTGTTTAGTTTTTTCTGATACCATGGCACTATGTGTACCTTCAAAAAATCAATTTTTGTTTGAATTGTTATTTAGAATTCATTATGGGCTCACCACTTCACCTATATTCCCATCTCATAACACAATACCATACCACCTCCTAATTATTGACATTTCAACTAGTATAGGCCATTTTCACTAGTAATGTTTATGTATGTCTTTCAAATGATGTTTATTTATCAGTCACACATGATTGAAGCAACATCTTGTGTTTTTTTTTTTTACACACTTCCTTGCTGCCACAATATCTAAATATTACATACCCTAAAAAAAAGATGGATCTTTTATAGTTTCTCTCTTGCTATGAGATACACATTTGCAAAATAAAGTCCTCTTTACCAGACCTGCATTGGTGTGCTCCAGGATCTCCAATGAACTTATTTACAATTCAGGTATCTGCCAACCACTTTTGTAATTTCCACCATTGTTTTATCTTTTGCAATTTCTGTAGTGATTAAAAATTTCTCTTTATCTGTCCAATCAGCCTTACAGTTCATATTAGAACTTCAAACATTATTAATTTTAAACTTTCAATTTCAGAGCATTTCATCAAATATTTGATTTGTTTACATCTGTATAGAATGAACAAGCTTTCGTCCTGCTTGTATAGTTGTTGCTATAATTTCACAAATAAAACTTGAGACTCCAATGAGTATTTTGTATATCAATAAAATCTGAACTTGCTTATAACATAAGATATACTATATATTCAGCATTGTTTTTCATTTAATTCTTTCAAATTTTTCATTAGTTTTCTATAAGTCAACAAATTCTCACATAATGACAAATAAGTCATTTAAAAGTGACAAATTATTTCAGTCAATTATAATGTCTTTATCTTTATTATTATTTCAATGTTTTGACTGTTGTGCTTTCCGGATTTCTTCAGCTGTCTCTGGAGCTGGGTGACCTTAAGGAAATTTCAAACTGAACCTTTTATTTAATCTCTGAAATAGGGGGGAAGTTTATTCTCATTCCACAAAACATGTCTAGGGATATCTAGTCTTAATCTTATTCAGTACTGCTTAGTTATTGCTTGCCATGTTTCCACTGAGTCAATATCTGTTGTACCTGGCCCAGGTATTGAACTAATAGTTACCATGTCATCAATTTCATGAATTATTTTTTTAATCTACGAGGATCTTTTATTAATTCTTTCTAATAATATTCTGCTCCATAAAACAACTTTAATTTACTATATTTCCTGCTAAAACTCATTAGAAGTCCTGATTAGCTCTTCACAAATTCATGATCTTTAAATGAATGCAATCTGAAATCACTATAAATTTTTCCCTTTAGATTTGAAAAAAATGACAAATATTTAACATTTATATATTTTCTCTATTTTAAAACATTCAATGATATGTTTCTGTCAAAAATTATAGATCTTGCATGACTGATTTTTCTAGAAAAGCACAATGATATGGTTCAGTGATAAAATTCCTAATGTGCATAGGTTAAGTTGATTAAATTTAAATATGTCACTTGAGTGAAAAAAATCTCTCAAATACTTTTACATTAAGAACTTAAAAAATTAAAATGTTTCTGCAGATGAAGAAGAAAATGGAATAATTTTTACTGAAATATAAGTGACAGAAAACAAAAGTTGATCGATGCCAGTTGGCATCTTATTGACTGCAATTTCACCATAATACATTCTGTTGGTATTTCTGCCAACCTAGTGACTGCATCAATTTTAACTTTTGATTAGAAACTTTTTAAGGAGGGGAAACATCTTGATCTTATACTTTCTTCTGTCTTAAATAAAGATTATATAATTTAAGAATATAAACTTTTCTCTGTTTGTATGCTTTTTATATTGGTGTAATTAAATAAAATTATCTCTGTATTAGTTCTAAATTGTTTAGATTCTTACTGTAAAATTTTAAATATTTATAATAGTTTACAGACAGAACACAGTAAATTTCTGATATCTGTTCACTGATATTCACAATCGCTATAACAAACATAAAACAGACCAATAATAAACTAGAAATTAATGCAATAATTGTAAAATTTAAATCTGTCTCTTGATCAAAGACAATATTCTTATTCTAATCATGTTTGAAGTAGATTAAATTCCTACACTTTCTTTGGTAAAGATTTTATAGGCAAAATTTTTCATCTATAATACTTTTCATTTTTTTAATACTTTTTCATTTTTCATTCATAATTATTAAGCAATTAAAAATGGCCTTTATAAGCAACATGCTTTTAGACATTTGCAATTAAGAATTATACAATTTTTTTTCAGATTTATATAAAATCTGAATGTCTAATAACTCTATATAGTTTGTGATAAACAATCAATTACTTATACCATGCTTCTTTATAAAAAAAAATAATTCCACATAAATACATCAATTAGTTTACAGAATAATGATAAAAATGCATTTATTTCATGTACCATATATTTTTCTACAAAATTGAAATGAATGTAAATAACTACATATGTCTGGACTCTGGAGTTATTAATCCACTCCAGTACTTTTAATTTTGGCCAGTCAATTCAGCACCCAGGAAAGGTAAATCCATTAGAATATTCTAATTAATAATGGTGTTGTAAATTAGGCTGCATTATTTTAACCAGATATTGATTACCATAGGAAATGATTAAAAATCACATGACTTTACCTGGTAAAATCCGTAAAATCTGCCCAGTCAACTGTATGAATTTGTTCCTCTTACCTATCTTGATCAGCTTAGTGTCACATCCTGTTGAAACACCAGTTCCCATATGATCACCAAAGTTAAGCAATGTCAAGCCTCGTCAGTACCTAAATGGGTGACTGCTTGGTAATACCAGGTACTGTAAACTTAGATGTATAGGTGGTGTAATAGATAATGTCTTGGAATTGTTAATTGGAGAATTGAGTTCATTATATTCATGAAGGCACTAATACCCTTAGAAAAAATATGAATCCAACTCTTCTGCTGAGTTAATTAGTAAGACTTGTATCACTAAAACCATTATTACCTAAAAAAGTAAATAATAAAATTGCATACAAAATATTTAAATTTCAGCATTAAATAACACATAGAGGTGCTGATATACAACTAAACAAAAACTACCAACCAACCAACCATGTTGATCATATGATCTTATGATGAATGAATGATCAAAAATAAATATTGTTCCAATCACATTCTGGGCAATACTGGAAAAGTAGTCAATACAGTTAAACCTTCAAACATCAACAAAATTTTCTGTTTTTTGTTAACAATAAACTTAAACCATGAAGCAACTATCCCAGCTTTGTCAGTCAGTTCAAGGTTTGAAAATTTTTCAGTTTTATTTATCATAAAAATAATATCTTTTACTATTTGAAACCTTGATTTCTAGTGTGTTTATCTTTGAACACTGGTTAACTTATTAAAGCACAATACTTGTACAAAGATATCCATCTGTTAATATAATTTTTTTCTGATGTGATTCATATGAGTGTTGTTAAGATAACTTAAGAAAAATATATTTCTATATCATTGTGTAAAAAAAAAATTACACCATACAATATTGATGATTATGATATATTCACTAACAGAAATGTTCCAACATTGTAACCTAAAGAATTAATGATATGGTGCATATAAAAAATTATTGCAATGCACCAGCTCAATTCTTATATGAAGTTAACAACTTTAATGTCATAATTTCATTGCAGTATACAAACTCAGGTATACTTGAATTGTTTCTCTCACATAGAATTCTTGCTTTACAGTCCTTCACAAATATGACAAAAGATTACTTGGATATATATGCATGCACGCACATACATGAATACCATAATATGCACACTGGATCATATGCATGAAGACATGTCCAGAACTCACACACTTTTAGGTAAAATTCCATGCATATTTATGTTCACAAATATAAACATCCAACTTGCTAGCTTAATTCACACTCTCAGATGTGTGCATGTCCAAATGCAAATTTATGTGCACCCTTGCATTATTTCTAATTTGCCTGATCCACTTATGTGTACACAGACATGCTTATTCATGCATATTTATGTGTCCAGAACTATGTGCTTTTGTACTTTAGATCCATATAAATGAACATGCCCTTGGATATGTTCCTACTTAGACATCTACACAAAATCCATGTTCTTTGATATATATCTCATGGCACCAATCACTTTACAGTGTACATCTCAAAATATGTATATATTGATATCTAATTTGAATAATAGCCTACATTTTTACACATAGGCACACACATATATATTTAATAATTAAAAAATATGCTTAATTTCCAGTATGTATTCACTCACATAAAATCTTTAAAATGTAAATGTATGTGTATATATTTGATTTCAGTGATACATATACATTCTTATTCGTATATTTATACTTTTATGTATATTGTTCCAAATAGTTTTTAAAACTTTTTTCTTACTATCAAATAAAATCTGAAATTCACTCTGTAGGAATTGCTTCATTTTTTCTATCTTAAACTACTTTATTAATGTAATGTTGATATAATTTTCTTATTCTTATCTTTACAAGGAAATCATATAATGATAAAATTGAATAAATGCATTGTTACATATTGTACATTTAGGAAAAAATTCAAACTTTGTGAATCAGGGTATGGTATCAATATGCAAATCATGTTTATGAAAATACTGCAGATAGGATTTGTTTATGGACAAACATAGATCTGCTTGCATACTAATCAACTGCCACATGTGCCTACTCATGACCTATTTTTACATAGTAAAACCTGTTTCTTTACAGGCAATCTTAGATTTATACACATACTAGAATAAAACCTATACATACAGATACTCTTCAGACTGCATTATATTAGTATTCTGATGTCTTCATTTCAATTAGTTCTGTACGCAATTTTCAATTGGGATTCAACCATTGAAGAACATGTTGCCACCACTATAACCATCCAACCAATAATTTACCTTAATCTTCAAATCAAAATATAACCAATAGGCATATATTTTTCACTGCACTGTATTTGGCTTAGTTTCTTAACTAATTATTCAAAGACCTTGACTAATTCAAGTCTAATAATTAATTTTTAGTTTACCTTCATAATCTCCATTGCTACTTGATTATTAATGTTTTTAATCAACAAGATCCAATTCTTCTATTTTACTTTATTTCACTTTGAGCATTATTCCATATTACAGTGCACAAGTCTGAATCTAATCAGAAATCTTGAAAGATGAAAATTAGCATAGCTTAAAATGCTTCTCGGCTATATGCACATGTAAAGTAACATCTTTTTTGTTTTTTAAATAGATATCTACATATGTGTATCAACTTGTCTGATTGTGTTGAAAAATTAAAATATTTAACAATGACTCATTGAATTTTATGGAAGGTCAAATTATCTTAGAGAAATTAAATGTTATAATTCTCACTTTAATTTGTATGATGTTTATCAAATATGTGTGTACTTTTTTTTTCTTAATTTAATATTTCCTTGGGAGTCACGGTGAAGTAACGGATAGTGGCTCAGATTGAGGAACCAGAGAGCCAAGTTTGAATTCCAGTCAAATCAATTACATTCACTTACATGCTAATGCGCTTAGGAAAGGTATGAATCCTTTTCTTCTCCCCCCCAGCTATGGGTAAATAACAGGACAGACTGGGTTCTATATCCTTGGATGACACCTGGTCTACCACAGGAAGAAATGATGACCTATTGCAGGAAAAAAAATCTGCCTTGTCAGTCATGGATTGAAAGATACATGATCATCTAAGCATGTATCACATATGACACATAACTGACTGAATATGAATATTTGTTTAATTTATCATTTAGAACTTTTCATCATAAATTAATTCCTACATTACTGGACTAAGACATACCATACCCACATCAACTTCACTAAAAAGACTTTGAAATACAAACCACATAAATGTGTATGCACATAAATAGATGATATATGTGATATATAAATTGTTTCAATATTTAATATAAATTAAAAAGATACAAACAGTTGAACTTTGCAAGTCTCAAAAATCAAAAGGTATTAATATACACTTGAGAGAGTAAAATGAAAACTTTGAAAAATATATTCTAATTATTAGCGAATCCATCTAAATCTCATTAAATTTTATATATATTTAATCAACTCAAAAATGAATATCTCTTTGTTGATTTTATGCTTTAGATAAAATCAAAGCTCCACACTCACTGTCATTAATTCTCACAAACCATATATATATATATATATATATATATATATATATATATATGCATAGGCTCAGATTGAGGAATTGGGGAGCAGAGTTTGAATTCCAGTTGAACCTATTACATTCACTTACGTACTAATACCCTTGTACTAATAAAATCATCATCAGTCCCTAGAATGCTTCAATGGTCAGGAGGACTTAAGGTCAGAAGAAACAGACAACCTCCACCAGGATGATCTGTGGGCAGTGGCTCTCAGGAGTTCTGGCATTGTCATATCTGTCCACTCTTTGATGTTCCCACTTGCATCTGCCTTCAACAGTACACTTCATGATGACATTTCAGAGGCTATTATTCTGTGTGATGTGGCCAAACTGTGCCATCTTCTGATACATCATAGTGGGGAGGAGAGATTTCTGTTGGTCCACAAGACTTTTGACCTTACTCTATACATAGTCATTGGTTTTGTGCTCTTAGTAGGAGATGCAAACTAATAAAATGGTAAAAACTCATAAAGTAATAAAATTGAAAATACTCATCTTATGAGCTACCATGATATAGGTTATAATCATTTCCATTTGTTCCTGTTTTTTGATGCTCTTAATAACTTTTTGCCCGTTACCATCACTCTTTGTCCCTGTTCTGCCATCTATTCAAGTTTAAGTAAGTTCCTTGCAGCATTTTCTTACTTTAGTATGTTTTGTGAGTGTTAAATTCTCCAGGCTCTCTTACCTCATGATGTAGCTCAGAAATTTCAAATATCACTATCTGATTGAAAGTATAAGTACCTATTTTCCTTAAAATTTCCTTGTTCTGTCCATGATATTCTTTGCATTTGTCAGTAGAGCCACATTTGTTACATAAGTGAGATTTTTTTACACAAAATTTAAAAATACAGTACATGTTGATATGACAGCTGTCACAATATAATCAAGAGCTATCTTTTTGAATAAAGTTAATTAAAACTAAAGAGTTCTAATGCTATCTACCAACAAAAACTGAACAAACATTTTAGACTACATAATAAAACGTTTAAGAAATGATTCCAGTCTACAAAACAACTTATGTTTTAGAAGTGACATTTTAACACTTTATATTTATTTGGCCCAGCCACTTGTGAAAAATGGATGACAGGCGATTCTATAATAGGTCATGTAGGAAACTTCAGAAGCCAAGCCAAATGGTGATATTATTGGAGACACCAAACCAGGGAAAAAAGCCTGTTTTCAGAATCAATCTTTTTTAGTAATACAGTAAATAAAATCTTCATTTAAGTTTCTTTCATCTGTTGAGTAAATGATACCATTTGAAGGGTATAGGTAGAAAAATGTCATTGCTTAATACATATTTATTCTGTTAAGCTAGCTTTTTAAAAAGCATAAATTATACTTCTGTATATACTGCATGTATGTTTAAAGGTCATCCGGATCTGTAGGGCAATGGATTTGAGTCTACCAAATTTTCTATTATAGAATGACTTGTTGAACATTGAAAACAAATTCATTAATAATATATGAATTTATGGTTAGAAAAAAGGAATAAAAATCTTTTTTTTTTTTATTAGGATTTATTCATTAACATAGCATTTATCATTATTACTAAACTGCTTCTAATAATTTCACAAATTCACAAAACTGTTTTGGAGGAAATAGTGA